CTCCGTGAGATCTTATCATTTAGCTTCGACGAAGCTAGAAGAAACGGAGAAAGCGTAAAAATGAACAAACTTCTCAGTCTGAGAAGACCACGAATTGTCATCGGCGAGATTCGCAAGTGACTCGTTGGGAAAAATTCTGTCGCATAATCGCGTTGTTCGCGTGGTTCCCGAATGGGCTGCGTGGCGGCGGCCTAGATACGAATCGAACATGGAACAAGCCTCGAAAAAGGCTCCTCTATGACGTATACCGCGGCTCGGTTGACAAAGAGCCAGTCGACGAGTGGATTCGACATGGTCGCGAGACCCGCGTTATTCGATAACATCGTCTGAGACGATGCACCGGCTGGCTGAAGCTGGTTTCACGACTCATAAACTCTCTTTCGTCGCCTTGCTATCGACGTCCTTGGCCCCCTATTGCCTTCGATGGCGTTCCCGGCTCGCGGTCGAGCGATCGACGATATTTTTCGAGTTATTATGCGGCATGCGGTTCGTTTGTTCCTCCTGACGAAAATGGAGATTATCGGGAAAATCCGTTAGTTTTGTCGACTGATCGATCGGTTGATAGCCTGTTGATCACTTATAGTTACAGCTACAGTCATTTTTATACTTTTACGAAATTTCCTTGATTGCGTATTATAATAAAAACTCCACTTTTCCATACTCTGTACATATTTGCATTCTCAAATTCCCTACAAACGCGTAAAAAAGTACGGTTTATGATCGATCCCGCGACATTGGTAATTTCACGTTTTCACGTCTTCAAATCGTGCTCGAGTAAAGTTACTCGAGTGTCGGGGCACGCAGCGGAAGAGAATCAGACGCCATGTTGCGCCGCAGTTGTTGAAAAACATCAGGCAGCAACGATGGATAAAGGCGATAGCAGCGATAGCAGGCCGGGGGAATTTGCTTGTATCTCGCCGGCCGACGAAAACCGATGACAAAGTTGCTTCTCGATAATGTTTCTTTAGTCTGAAGGGGTTGCTTCACGTTAAGGCTTCGGCAGTGACGCCATCGCTGGCACTCTTGCTCGGTATGTTAATTAACGGTATAAGCTTCCCAAGCCACGGGCCCGTAAGGAGCCCTTTATATAACTAATTAGTACCGCTGGTATTCAGACTATTTACTTCATTTGGCTCGGCTTAGGCACCGCTACATCCAGCTTTTATTTCCACCCCTCTCGTTCCGTCTTCTCTCCTCCCCTTCCCCTCTCACCATCAATGTCATCCTTATCCTGCCCGCCGCGTGTGTCTCGCCTCCCCTTCCATCGCATAGTTATCGCTATTCTTACTTTTTGCCCGCTGCCAGAATAATTCCGCGACGACACTTTGATCCCAGGACGCCATTGTCTGACTTCTCGCGCGAGTTTCGCCTTTGCCGAACGAGCCTCGCTTACTTCGTCGGCATATTTTTCGTTAATCGACGGCAATCGGGATTGAAGTGAATCCAAATGGCGTTTCGGCTTCGTTCCTTTTCGTTCTCGCGACTGACGATGCGTTTGGGCATACTCAGGAGTATTTTTTGGGATGACGGTGAAAAACGTAGAAAATACTCCCTGCACTGATTATCAGTCGAAAGTGTTTGGGAACACGTTGTACGCACGAATCTTCTAATGTTAATTATGATTTTCTAAAATATTTTCGTACACTGTGCGTAGAGAATGGACGTGTCTGATAGACTGCAAGTCTATCAGAAATATTCAAAAGTCTCTAAAATAAAGAGTAACATTGATTCAATTAAAACACGGTAGACATAGAATAATTTCTTTCTTTAAAGGGTATTACAAAAAAAAAAATGTTTCATCTATATTGGATTCTTCCTGGTCTTTACATAATGAAACGGTTAACAGTCTAGTTAATCCATGCACGTATAAAATAGTAAAACGGCAGAGTGCTTTATTAAATACAATACAAAATTCAACAGGGATCGCCGTTTTCCCTTGCAAATCTGCTTCAAACAGCAGTGGTAAATAGAGAATCGTTGTTAAATGCTGTAAAGATACTGTGAAACGTCCATCCTTACGTAACGCGGTATTTATCAACGACGGCGCCCAGTAAAAACCAGGCCTCTTCCGGAATTTTCTTGGCCGGGCCGTTCGCGTTCCATCTTCGTCGATTTGGAGCACGAATGTTGGAAATTGCCGCGATAAAACCGCGCGTAAAAGTGTAACAGTTCACGGAGTTAAGCAGCTACGCGAGGTTGGCCTAATAAAATTTCCGGCAGGGATTTCTCTCTCTCTCCCTCTCCCTCTCTCTCTCTCTTTCTCGCGCTCTCGAGTCCTCGATCGTTCCTGGCCGACGAGAGACGTTCGTTCGCTCGTCGTCGGCTGTGACGTTCCAACGCGTTACGTAGGCTGCCCCGGCGCATCGATTCGTCCGGTCGCGCGTGACAATCGCGATTAGCCCTCTTAACTCGCCAGATCCTATCGTTCCAATTATATAGGATTATCCGGATCGATACTACTTTGCTACCACTTTTCTCCTCGTAAATGCATCCCGTTTATCCATCGACATTTCCCTCCGTCGCGAGATCTCGCGTCCATCGTATGTAAAAATAGCACATACGCAACCGGCCGTGCTCTCGAGCAAACGCTCGTCAACAACGCTTGAGATGGGATTCCCTACGAGTGTTCGACGTGTTTATAACCGACACAATAGAGGGGCATGTTCTTGGTTTTCTATGTTCGCGATTCTACGTCGAATGTTGCGCGCACGTGGAAGGAAGTTGACGCAGCTTTTCCTCCGTGTTAAAATCATTTGACCTATTAATGTTGATTTGTTGAGTTCAATCTAATTTTGTCGTTTACATTGGCCCACCCTAGAAAATGCAAACAACGGAACAACAGGGACGCTCATTTTCGCGACTGACGATCCTGCGTGGAGAGCGAAACGCGCGGAACCTTGCGGGACGAGTGTGGATTCGAAGTTTTCTGAAGAGGATTTTCAGTCGGTAGTTGGTCGAATCAATAATTTTCAACGATGGCCTGACGCAGCATGGCGCGTATCGTTAATCGCGGCGTTTACGGGCGTACGTCGGCAGCGCGCGCAATTGTTAATTACGCATCCCAAAGGAGTCGACACAGGTTCGCGTAATTAGCGGCCGAGAGCCAGCGAAAAAAAGAAAAAAAAAGGGAGAAAGAAGACGGCGTGGAGAATGAAGGACGGCGGCGACGGGGGACGGAGCGGTGTTAGGGGAGGTTGAATCTTTCGCGGTTGAGCGTGCAGGCCGAATACGCTGGCGGACGACAGACCGACAGGATTAATGACCATCCTTATTATCGTTTGGCCGTGGGTACATGCGCGACGCGGGCAAGTTTCGAGGCTGGCGCGTCTGCGGCGTCGCCTGCCGACGATGCTGTGCAAGATTTTTAATTAATCGATCGAGACGCCAGCGTCGGGCTGCCGTCGTTTGCGGTGCGGCTGGTTCATTAGAGACTCTTAATTAACTTGCGGCGCTCA